GCCATGTTTGGGAGGAATTCTGAAAATTTTACAATAAATCGATTCTCATTTTCAACCACACATTCTTCAATAAAATAATATTTTTCATCACATCAATAATTTTTTCTTTTTTTTTAACCACACATTTCCCATCATATCACTATTCAAAATCAATTCTTCCCCCAAAAATCCCTCCCAAACAAGCACTATGTATTTATTGTTCGATAGAACTGTAAACTTATATAATAATACCCCAAATAATGTGGGCTGAAAAGGCCCACAACATTAAAGTCAAAATTAGTACCCTTTTTTTAAGGTGTTTTTGATTAATACCCTTAAACTCTAATTACACATTTTAATGAAGTATTAATTACGTCTTAAATTGACACTTATGTGTACAATAAATGATTGAGTAACAACTACTGTTCCAAGTGAAGCCACTCTTGAANTCAGACAATTTCACATTGGGAAAATTAGGTCCATTACTCTTTTTTTTTAGGTGTTTTAGATTAATACCCTTAAACTCTAATTAAACATTTTAATAAAGTATTAATTACATCCAATTGTGACTTTTTCGTATATGTCACTTTTTCATAGAAAAGTGACATAATTCACATTCTCCTTTTGTGAAACACCTTGTACGCATCAATAATTTAATTGATTCAAAATTTTCTTTTTCATGTGTATTACCAAAAAACGGGGCATGAATTGGTATGTTCAAAATTCCAAAAACGCATATGTATGCATCTAATTAATTGCTTCAAGGATATAATGTGGCTAATGTCACTTTTTTTTATAGAAAAGTGGCAGAATTCATATTATCCTTTTGTCAAACACCTTACATGCATCAATGATTTAACAGATTCAAAACTCTTTTCATATATATTGACACAATCAATTCTCTCTCAAATTCAATAATATTATTTTCAATCATATTTTCAAACACAATAAAAAATGGTTAAAGAGGTTCAATACTGGGGAAGGAGGGGCTAAAGGATCACAAAATTGGGGAGGGCGTGTGATTTTTTTTAGAAAAGTAACAAAACGTCACTTTTTCATAGAAAAAGTGGCAGAATTCACGTTATCATTTTGTCAAACACATTACATGCATAAAAACACCTCATAAAAAAT